TGCTATAGTCTAATTTGTTTTATTACCAAGTTTAAAAGAAGTATTTTAGTATGCTGTATCTACATGATCAAAAAAATCTCGTGTGCCTCTAAATACTTCATTACCTATAACAAAATTACTTTTTTTCAATTATATCAATACGGGGCTAGATCCCTTATTGTTCTCTTGCGCAAGTCGGGCTTCCTTGAATAAATCAAGGGAGTAGATCACATACAGGTTAAGTACTGGCTTCTAAGTCGGTAAGGTGATTAGCCTGCCAGATTGGCCTCATTTTGTTCCAGTTGGGCCCCACCTTTTGGTTGGCATATAAAGACCTTGCAAATTATAGATAAGAAACAGGCCCTAGCAATGCCTCCTATGCCTCATTATCCAAAAATGCTCCACCATAATAAATGGCAGCAAGTCCGAAATACAGTTTGGGTTAAATTGAAGATGCGATGACTAAGACGTCGTGGCATCTATTTTGCTCGTGGTCTCCTTCAGTTGCATAGACAATATTTGACCTCGCATTTTCAACTCTGTCGTGTTTCCAGCACGGTACCGAGTCCTCTGTCGGATCGTAGAGTTGGTACCTTCCCAACCTTTTCGCCTGCATAATAGGTGACATCGTCTGTGAGCTTCGCTAGTCTTTGCAACAAATCACGATTCGTCAGAGGCAATTAAAGTCTATCCCTGCCTGGTGGGTTATCTCTTATTTAACCCCACATTTATTCCTGGGCTATGAATTATTTAAATCATTCGGATACATCAACTCTGATCTCATACTTATCAAAAATAGATAAATAAATAGTTTATGATATATATCAAGTTAGTGGATGTGCTACCCGCTTGACTGAAATACTTAATGTTAGAGCTTGTATATATTAGAGGGTCCGAAACTTTTATGAGGAAAACTGCTTGATTTATAAAATACGACATCCAAGTTCTAGCATAAATTAATAGCAACCATTGTTATTTTGCAAGAACTAATAGTCCGCACAAATTATGATAGTTTAGGTAGTGTGAATATACATCTGCGAGAGCAAGTGCAATAGTAAATGAAAGTACACAAATATAAGCAGATCTCTTTTTATTTCTTTGGAGGTAGAGGTAAGTTACGTATTTGTGTTGCATTTTACATAATTTTCGGGAGATGGCTTGAAAGCCTTAATAACCTGACTTCCCATACGTCCACAGATTTCCTAGAAGAATTAAATTGGGAAGTGATTCCTATAGTACAATTCCTCTCCATACCCACTTGTCGCATTGCTATATTACTGCACTTGCTTTATATTTGTCGAGGAAATCTAGTTCTGGGCTGATGGCGAATGCGTCCTTGAGTAATTGAAGAGGAGACTTTAATTTAATCCCTTTATGCGTATCTAAGGATGTGCTCAACCAGACTGGACTGCTGAATGGAAATGATGGGCCGTAGGCATGGTCGAAATGGCAGCCCATCCTGGAAGGAAACTACCGATTTGGATCATTGGCGAAGGGAAAGTTAAATTAAAAAATCGAGCCTTTTCTTCACTCAATCGTAGACAATATCAATATTTGTTTTAGAACACCATCTGATAAAAAAGTATCCTCATGGAATAGTAGTTATCAGTAAATACCTCCCTATACCAGATAAATTCACTAACCCAAATTGCTTGTATTTATTGCAGTAAAACCATAATTAAATCTTGAATAGGAACACCAATCAGCTTGGGTCGCCAATGCGGAGTTTGGAAGTGAACTTGGGTTTTCCTCATTGAAATGGGTAGATAGCCTCGAAAGGCTTTGCATCAGAATAGGCTTGCCCATCCAGGCTGGAGCGAGGTTTCAACCTCACAACGGGATTCGAACTGGGGTGGTGTATGTCGGGCGGTAGCCTTACCCCTCTGTCACAGTCGCAGTGCCAGTGGCAATACCGAAGCTGGTGCCGATAAGTCAGACTTGCATTTGCCAGTAGTATAGGTAACATTTTATTGTATCAACTTAGTAGATTTTCATACAGTCGGGTAATTCTTCAAGACCTACTCATAATTTCGAAGTCGATATACTTTATGAACGACATACAAATTCTCATAATCGAAACCTGTGCCATTACGAATATTAATTGGTGAGTGCTAGTGTGCCTGGAGGGTCTCTTCTACCTTTTGATGCTCCGGCGACCGAGATGTATGCGCTTAATCCGGTTTCGAATTCAATTTGGGGCACTGGGGAGACTCAGGCGAGATGAAGCTGACGTCTAGCCTGCATGGACAAGCCTTCTGTGGTGCAATGCAGTGTGAGGCCTTCTTTGCATTTGACTGCGGGAGGTTCATTTATCAGTACTCTCCTAAATCTAGGTGGCCTGTAGAAAATCAGATTTTTAATCACTTGATTTAATAGAAGTTGTTTGACCTTGTTTTCGCAACTCGGTCATTTTGGTAGTAAGACTTAGAGGAACACACCTTGTCAGGAGTCCATTGTATGCATAATCATTTCCAAAGTCGGACCGTAGTCGTGGTACATTCCCAGACGTTTCGCCGACATCGTAGTTGGCGGCCTCAGTGAGTTTTGCCATTCGTAGCACCATATTACAACTCGTCAAAGAGACAAGTGAAGCCGATCCTTTGACCAAACGTGTGCTTAACAGTGTTAATAATATCTCCATTTCTGCCCTGGGCTATTCACATTTCCTATATCCTCCTATTACAAATTGACTGTCACTATTTTTTGTGGTACGGTGTGCCGTTTTAAGTGGCCTTCATGAGAACCCTCTGCACTCCACTCTGGTGTTCTCACTCTTATTCATCCTTGTGCTGGGAATCTGGATCAGAGTCTGTCATTATGGTACGCATTCCTCCTTCCCTAGGTCTACCATAGTATCTCTGTTGCCCCGTAAGATCCGTCTGCCCACTCCCTGTTTCACATATTTCACTCGAACCCTGATACCCCATATGTGCCATTCGATGCTTTATTCGCCCTCCCCTGCGTCTGGTGACTAATTTGAGGCTAAAGCCTCTGAGTAAGTCTCATAGTCAGGCCTTTACAACATGGACCACGTCTCTTATAAAACCTACTGTCAGCCCACTAGCTCCTATCGCCGCCGCGTCTATCCTGT